CCGAGAGAGGCTCGTTAGTTTCATCACAACTCCGACGTGCGCGCCTAGATATCCAGCACGTCGTACGTATGCACGTATGTGTGTACATGGGTCGTCGCTCCTCTAATTGCATGTACAACGGTGCTCGTTCGAATCGCGTTTCCGTCCTCCAGACCGGGCTTTCTATCCTCGGGCGGACGACGCCTCCCCCCCTTTCTCTCTCTCTCGTTCTCGCACATCGCGCGCGGCGCTTCATTCCGAATACGCTCTTATCTCCCGGAGACGCTCCTTTTCGCGCCCGAGATAGTATCTTCGCCGATGTGACATTATCGAGTATTCATCCGTTTTCCTCGTGATTTACGACGGTACGATAGCATGCGGTCTTCGGGGAATAAATAATACGGTCGATAAGTCACGAAGAGTTGAGACGCGAAAGCACACGTATTTCCGCGTCTTCCTCTTCTTGCGCGGCAAAATCGTGCGAATCGGAATTTTGATTTTTTCAAATCTGCACATTCGGTCAAACTTGAAGAATCAATGTTTGACGATACAAGCCATTGTCCTGTCTCTTGATGCTATAAATGGTTACTAGTTGCTACTCTCCCAGATGTTTGAGTGAATATTTATTCAAGGGTTATTTAGTATTCGATTAGCTGATAACACAGGTTTACAAGGTTTTTATCACAAAAGAAGTTTACCCGAAGGAATTCGATGCGCTGAATTCAAATCTAGCCTCAGAATGGCGCCATCGCGTCAGGATTTTGAGATATATTCTAACCTAAAAGTGCAAAAATGACTATTTTAGGGCATTATTGGAGTTTCCTCCTGGTTGCATAGAATTTTACCGACAAAAACTAAACAAAGTACCGTAAAGTACGAGTCTTGCCCTTTAATTTCCATTTTGGAACGTCTAAATAGAATTTTTTTTCACCGAGATACAGCAGATTTAAGTTTTTACTGCATACAGAAAATCAAATAAAGCGATGATGTCGGTTCATTTAAAATACCTTTTTGGTTTTGAGCAATTCTGGAAAAAAAAGTTTGTAGTTCAAAGAGTCCCGAGGGTCGCTGCTCACGAATCTGTACTCAGATTTCCAAAATTCAAGATGGCGGATTCAATATAAAATTTCCAAATCCAAAAGAATTTTGGAAATCTGAATCCAGATTCGTGAGCAGCGACCCTCGGGACTCTTTGAACTACAAACTCTTTTTGCAGAATTGCTCAAAAAGGGTTAAAGTATTTCAAATGAACCGACATCATCGCTTTATTTGATTTTCTGTATGCAGTAAAAACTTAAATCTGCTCTATCTCGGTGGAAAAAAATCTTATTTGGACATTCCAAAATGGAAATTGAAGGGCAAGACTCGTACTTTATGGTACTTTGTTTAGTTTTTGTCGGTAAAATTCTATGCAACCAGGAGGAAACTTCAATAATGCCTTAAAATAGCCATTTTTTCATTTTTAGGTTAGAATATCTCAAAATCCTGACGTAATGGCGCCATTCTGAGGCCAGATTTGGATTCAGCCCACCAAATTCCTTCGGAAATCAATATAAAGTTTCATGTGATATTACATACCCTTTAATTTGTTGACCTGTGTAATTTTCTCTATTCGCTATGCAATCTTATTTTTAATAAACCGTTAGTTAACACTGCGGTTGTGATGGATTCGTACTTTCATATAGTACCGTCTTAGGGTCGCTTTTTCAATGATAGTTTAAACTTAGACTTCAACTTAAACTCTGTTTAAACGAAACAAACGCATTGTTAAAATAGAATTTAAACTTGAATCCAAGTTTAAATTGCTATTGAAAAACTGGCCTTAAGTGTATAAAGTTATACGGAAAAAAAGTTTGATTGAATTAACCAAATATCTGGTCGAATATGAACGTTCCAGAAATTCCGATTGAAATAACCCAGATTCTGTTTAAGTTAACAAGATTTTTAGTTGACTTAAACATAATTCGGGTTATTTCAATCGGAATTTCTGGATCGTTCATATTCGACCAGATATTTGGTTAATTCAACTAAACCTTTTTTTTCCATGTACTATTTTAAAATTTCCTATAAGAAATACATTATGTTTTCTAGAAAGATATAGCTTTATATGTTGTTAAAACTGTTATGCCGATTTGCGTACTAAGCACCTGATCACGATAACGACCAAGAGCTGACAGAACGGAAGGACAAGACGCGAGATGATAAGAGCGGTGATCGATTACGAAGCTTACAACTTCTATTTTTTTCACTTCTGTGAATCCAAAAAAATCAAATTAATACCAAACGAAAGAAGGAAGTTCATCGTTTTATTATCCACTGTCTATTATTCTTTATTAAATTATTTAACATCTGTTTATCGTCCCTACTTTATCTGCAATTAAGCAAGTTGCATGATTAATACAGTACTGATTGAAATCAAGATTGAAGATTCCATGCAAATAGACCGATGATCGAGTTGAATAACTTTTAAATCAATTCTTCTTTAAGCCTTAATATATATGAAACAGTGGTAATTAATTTCTAGCGTTAAAATAAACAACAGTTCTCCCACTGATACTTCAAACTCGATGGAACCTGCAGAGTTAACGTAGAATCAAGATTTTCATTTGAAAACTCCTCTCGCGAATCCAGACGACATGCAGTGTTGCTTTACGTTGATTTATTCGTGCCTGCTTGCTCGCGCGATGCGACCGATTGGACGTCGAATTAAAACGTAGGAGTTCAATTCGCTCGCACTTGCGATCGATAATCGAGAGACGTAGATGTAGTCTTCGATATTCGTCGGTCATGTACATCGACCTCGCGGCTCGTCGGCAGGGCCCCCCGATATCGAAGGCACGAGAAATAAAGGAAAAGAAGAAACGCAGGCAATAAGAGCGAAGGCACTCGCCGCATCGAGATCGGGCCGGGGAATAATTAATATACCATGGACGCATAACGAACGACTCTGCGATGCAGTCTGTTTGTTTTCGGACGGCTCTTCCCCGGCCTCAAGCTTGTCGGCCGTATCTCTCTCGCTGGGGCCCCTCGACCTCCCGCTGCTTCCCTCTGTCCCTTTTTTATTTTAAACGTGCGCTCACGCACACACACACACACACACACGTGCGCGCGCGCATGGGATTGTCCCCTGAGCTTCTCTTCGAGCTCTTCCCTGGGAGGCGGCCACTGTTCTTTATTTCAATTTAACCGCCTTGCAACATAGATTTTAAGACACTCAACGTAAGAGACAAAAAGAAATACAAGGCTTCAAGTATTACGAATAATGTGGTGTTTGTTGGATGATCAGGAGCCGTTTTATTAGCGGGAGCAGACGACGATTCCATCTTACGAATATCTCGATCGACGTGTGCCTGTTTCTTTGTTTAATTTGTAATTCTCTTTGATTGCGGACGTGAACGAAAGCGGTCTCTGGGATAATCGTGACGCGTTCGATGGGAACGCGTCACGAGACGTCGGGATATCTTTTCGAGTTCACATGCAATTTCCCGGCACGCGACACATTATAGTCGCGACGAAACGCGATGAAATCGTCAAAGCTCTCGTCTCACCGTCCTTTGTCTCTTGTGCGTTATTCGGCACGAAATTGCTTCGAAAGAGGGCGAAAGAAAGACGGAACGTGAGAGAGAGAGGGAGAGAGATACGACGCACGCACGCACAACGGAGAGAGCACCGCATGCCTCTCTCCATATATCCTCTCCACTTTAATCTTTCTTTTGTGACTCGGCTGTTTTAGCGTTTTTTATTCCCCGATGAGAGCTGGACCCCTACAGGCCGCGAACGGGAGAGAGCAGCGCGCTCGCTCGCTCACTCGCTCACAAGCGACAAGAGAAAGAGGGGAGAGAAAACGAACGGGAGAGAGGGAGAGAGATAGATAACGAAAGAGAGAGAGAGAGAGAGAGAGAGAGAGAGAGACCGAAACAGAGGCATGCAAGACATCGCTGCGGGCTTATTAGCAAGAAACCGGTGGGGAAAGACGAGGTCGCGAAGGGGAACCGGCAAGATGGTAGACGGCAAGAGGGGTTGGGGCAAACGAAGCCGAAGCCGGGGCATGCTCGCGGATAAAGATGGCCTCGCAATATCATAATAAACGTACCTTGTCTCTCGCTCTTCTCCGTCTTCCTTCTCGCTTATTTCGTACGGTCCTCATTAACGCTGCAGCGTCGGGGACGACAGGGCCCACCCTCGTAGCGCGCGCGATGTATATTTGCGTAGCGTCGAGAGAGCATGCTCGGATACGTGGAGACTTTTCGGAGTTGGCGCGTAGTCGGAGCGCCGGGGGATTTTGATTCGACGTCGTTCTCGCGAATGATTTATGCACGCCGTGCACGCAGCCGCGTGTGCGTGTGCGTGCGCGCGCGCGCCCGTTTGAAGGGCTTTTGAAATCGAACAGCGGTCTCCGGCTCGGTCTCCAGCCTGTCTGGAGCCCCCCTCGATCCTTTCGGCTTCTGGAACCGACAAAAAAGCTAAATTACTTCCTCATGTGAGCTCTCTCGGTCATTTACGAGAATAAAACACAGCGGTGGACACCCGCGGAGGTCCTGAATTTTTCACGTAATTACATACGAATTTTCGGCTAAGCTTACAACGGGACATAACATAAAAGCCTTGACTTTTCTCGACGTTTTTCCCCCCGGTACAATACACTCTCTGCTTTTGTGAGAAATTAAGAGTTAAGATAAATGTGATCTAAACAATGGCTGCGTTCAGAAAACATAGCTGATCAGTGAGCGGTTAGTGATTATTGGTGCTTACTGCTAGATCCCTAATTTTAGACCAATTACGTTGACTAATTACTCAACTGTTGTGTAACCGTTGTGTCTCCTGAACGCACCCAATATTCCAAGTTGAGGCAGGTAGGATGTCTCCAAGATATCTCGTGACATTGTCATCTCCGCGACATCCGACTTTCGTTCTTCGCCGATACGATGATGTATATTTGTAAATTCAAGTTCACATTTTTATAAGTGTATGTCTATTCGGGGACTCGCATGTAACGTCGATTTTCTCCTTCCTTCTTCTAGATTTTTCTAATATGGGAGAAAGAAGATGCTACTGCAATCAACCGGGCTGCGTACCTCAGGGATACATGTGCCGCGGTAAGCTTTGCTTCACGGAACTACCGTCGGGCGCAAACACGCTTCTGAGAATGGAGCAGAGCACTCGCAGCGGTTGCTTGAACGAGGACCTCAAAAATCGTCGGTGTCCCGCGGGGTATCTCTGTTGCAACCACGAGGATCTCTGCAATCACGTGGACAGTCCTGCGATGAAGAACAAGCTCAACAAGACCCTACAAGGTTCGAGCGATCTCACGTTATAAAAACTCTTAATCATGCTATAAAACCGTCTCGATAAAAAGACGAAAAAGAAAACAACATTCCAAAAAGATTTATGTAAGAAGTATGCTTAATAATTTAATAACAATATTATACATAACAAAGTACTTTCGTTACGTTAGCATAAAGATGCCGTTAATTATAATTAAGTAGACGACGGAGAGTGAGACTGTCGGTGAAATAGCCTGGAATACGCTGCGAATACTGCGAGAAACCTTGATGTTCGTTGCTCATTGATAATTTATAATTTTCTTTTGTAGTGCTGGTCGGCGATCAACGAGCGTACTTGGGTACTATGCAGCCGAGCAGCCATGGAAGTCAAGGGACGACGGAGGGCTGGTTCAGGACGACGACGATCGCCGTGACCGTCGGCGGTGTCGTGGTTCTGCTGATACTCGCCAGCCTGGCCGTAAGATTGCTGCAGCCCGTGCCGGCCCCGATTCGCGCAAGCGGCAAACTTGTGCCGCACCGAACATCTGTCAACGGACCACCCTTACTCGGACCACCGAAAGTGCCTCTGGTTTAAAAGGGAGACTCCGCGATCCAAAGACAAAGTTTCCCGGCACAAAGTGTGTTCTAAGTAGTAGTTTAATTAGCGGAGCCGATCGTGTGCTGGCTTTGGTATATGACTGATGATTAGCTTTGAACGGTGGAACGTCAAAGTTCTTTGTGTGTGTGTATGTGTGTGTGTATGTGTGTGTGCGTGTGTGTACATAGTCTTCATCGATTCGACCTTCGTTTCGACTACGTTGACTTTTTACGATGCATTCAGTATGCAAGTATACGCAAAGCTCCGCGAGACAGATCTCGCAGGGCCGGAGTCATATACCGTAGTGCAGCCGCGAGGCGACGTAGAAAGCTAGCGGGCCGTCGAAGGCTCTACTCGGCTGTGAATTTTATGAAAACAAGAGCAACTATTGTAAATTATATTCGCGCGACGAGATAGCGTATTACTTGTTGCATTTCTTTGGAACAATGTGTGGGCGCGGCGACGCGTGTCGCGAGAGCTCGTAGAATGAGAGAGAGAGAGAGAGAGAATGGTCCACGGGACTTTCGGGTCCTTTGAACACGATGACGTGTAAGTAGTGCGCACACACGGCACGTCCCGTGCAGCCGTTGTGTGTGATTCTGTAAATAGTTGTCCTTTGTATTTTTCTTTTTCATCATATCGAATGACACATTAATCTCGACGAAATACACAACGACATCACGACTCTTAACGTGTTACATCATGAGAGATCGCTGTTCTGAAAAATATTGTTACACAAATTTTACGAATGATAGCCTTGAATGAAGAAACGGAAAACGTCCAAGAAGTGAACGCCAAGTATTGTGAGAAAATAAATTCGAGACACATAATGCCGTGGGAGTCGCGAGACTTCAAGGTACGACCGTGACATTTGTAAGAGCGTTACTTTATACACGTATTTGTAAACGTATTCCATTATAAACACTATATTGTGATAGTACGACATAATAACGAATAAATAAATATATTTAGGACGTTTACCTATGTAATATATAGAATTCGTTTTACACGTGTTGTACACTTGTGTATAAGGAATGAACGAGAATGATCAAAGTAAAAGTATATTTTAAGCGTCTTCTCAGGGTTCTGTCTCTATTTATTTGTTCCTTGTCATCATTAACACGCACATACCACATCGGTACCCGATATACAGGAAGGATACGTCATTACTCTGTAAAATAGGTGTTACATTTAATCAGAAACGTTCTCGTGCCGCATTGAAATTTCAATCATAAAACGCGAGTATAATATAAATGTTTTGGCATCACAGTTTAAAAATCGTTCATCATGTCTCATGTACACCACTCTGTCACTTTTCCCCGCAAATTTTTCACGGCCGCACGTCCAACTTGCGTTGCACGTGTCAGTCGACCGTACGTACTCAATCTCTCGGCACAGGAGGAAGAGAGAGAGAGAGAGAAAGAGTGCCGGATTGTTTTATAAAAATACTGTTCAAGGTATATATTGCCCTCGACTCCTGTGTGTTTCGGCCCCTTTCTTTAGAAAGAAAAAAAAGACGGTTTTTTGCCTTCCCAAGTCAATCGAATTTCGAGCGTGACACATTAATATTTTTGATCTATGTACATGCATGTAACATAGGAATATTGAAATTTAGCATGAGTCGCTTGAAATCAGGGTTGCCTTGTAACCCGTCTGGCGGGTTTGATCGCGATGATGGTGAACTTAGGAGAGTATCTCCCCGAAGGACTTGACATAAGCTTCGTGGAGTTTGTTGATAAAGTCGGGATCGCTTTTCAACAAGTAGTTGAACGCTTGCAAAAGCTGATTCTTCGTCAATGGTTCTAACGGTCTGTTTAAGGACTCCGGCGGACTAGGCGCAGCGAACATTACGGGAGGCATCAACGCCGGTGCCGATCCTCTTCCTGACAGCGTAGGCGCCGGGATAATCTCGTCTGATGTCTGCATATTCAAAATGTAGAAAGGATTACATATATATTACTGAGTGTAAAATCGGAGAATGGAAAGTTGCGACATTTTTATCTCTACGAGCTTCACAACGCATCTCATATTCAATAGGAGGTAATTTTTTTTTTAATAATTTTTAAAACACAGAAGATGGATTTCCTTATTAGATATGGGATGCGTTTGTTAAACTTATGTGTAATTGTTGCAACCTTTCATCCTTTGATTTCTGTACTTTCGGCAAAGTTCAATCATATATCTCTGAATTATTCTTACCGTATTTCCGCTTGCGTGAGCAAATAATGATGCGAGCGGATTGGCATTGTTAGTGTTGATAATATTTGAAGTGTGCTGACTTCTCAGAGTAGAAGACGACACTGTACTGGTCGGTGATTGTATCCTGAGAAATCCCGTCGACCCATTCGAATCGCTTTGACTCACTGCTAGTTGAAGTTCCTGCGACATTGGCGCCGGCGTGGACATCACAGAGTCTTGTTGGGGAATCGTTTTGTTCCGTCTCTTGGATCTATTCGAAGAAGAGATATTGCTCACGTTGTTCGGGGTTAATACACTCGTCGACGGTGGTTGTGACTGGTGAAGAGTTGATGGCTGCGGCGTTATGGATCTCTGTTGTTTCTCAATATGTTCCAAAGTATGTGCCGCCGGATGAGACATTAGACGCGCTAGGAAAGGTTTGTTCTCGACTACGACCGCACCTCCGGGTGTAGGTTGGTCGCCTGCTTTAAAATGCCCTGTGTTCACCTAAATTCGAAACAAACAATTATTGATATTTTAACAAAGCATCCTATTCAGGAAATGGACTGTTGAGTAATTCAACATCAATTAAATCTTAACTATTCAATAGGAGTATGCACATTTCTTTATTTTACTTTAGGCGCCTGTGATGTACTACTACTACTGTAGATGTATATTCTACTAAAATGTATATATTTTTTTTTAAACATATGACATAAACAATAGACAATGTATATTACAGGAAACAATGTATCTCTAGCTAATAATATACAGCCCTCAAATTATACCCTCAAATTATACCCTCAAATTATACCTCAAATTATACCTCCATGTAGCGGAGTTTACAATAAGAACTTAAGCCATAAAACTTAAGCTTCAAGCTTGAAGCCATAAGAAATTGACTAATCACAATTAAATGTAAGGAAAATAATCAACTGTGATTAGTTAATTTCTTACAGCTTCAAACTTAAAGATTAAATTTTATGGCTTAAGTTTTCATTGTAGACTGTGCTTAATGCGTCTTATCAATGAAGGGTTAATGTGAGTTTAAGTCCTTGTCTGGAGTTTAAATCCAGTTAAAGTTAAAGTTTAATCAATAGATCAATAAATTTTATTGATAGAAACAGGCATAAGAAATGATATTAACCTTAGCTTTAGCAAAGAAGTCCATTACACTTTGCGAGGTGACATCAGGGCCTAGAGGAGCACTCAGTGGTCCAGGGATATTATCCGTGGGTATAACCAATGGAGATTTTGTTTCGATTACAGCACAGCCGCTGTCACCACCACCACCTCCACCACCTCCTGAGCTTCTACTCGTATTGAAGTCTTCTTGTGCCTTGCTGAGCATACTGAATATATCTACATTATTCACATTAGGTCCCAAAGTTTTCTTTGCTTTCATGGCAAATGGCTTGCTATTGATTTTACGACTCTCTTCGGATTCCTTCAAGAGTTTGTTTATTATATTGGCAATGCGTACACATTCTTCTTTCTCATAGAACCAAATACCATGGATGTTGCACCTGGAATTTCTGTACAACAAGAATGGCTCCTGCAGTTGCAAATCTAAGTCTTGAGCAATTGGCTCCACTAAATTATTTGTGTTTAATCTGCAACAGACAATTTTTTTGTTAATGATCTTCACTTTTAGTGTCACTGATATGAGTAGACGTATGCAAAAGGTATCAATTGGTGCTTTAGATTAGAAGGTAATTTTGTAACTTCTTTCAGGGAACTACCGGTAATATACAAACAACGTATTGTGTACTCCCGTCGAGGAGCATTATAAAAGATATATAAAAACCTGTTCATTATGAGAATACTGTTGTACGGCTCGCCGTTTCTTGAATAGACGAACAGAGCACCTTCGATATGGGTCTTCTCCCATTCATTCTCGTCCGCATTAAATGTATACAGGGCTACGTGGGTTGCAGTCTCCAGGATATCCTTGACGTAGGGGTCAACTCGTTTTAAAGCGGCCACATTCATCCTCAATTCGGTCCGATCAGTCATGATAATTGAGATTACGAATTACACGACACGCTCGACGATTATCAATGATTTAATGCAACGTGCACGTTGCACTCTTTGTCCACCGGCTTTTTAATTGCTACAAAAAGTGTAATATTTTGAAATAGCGTAAGCAGCTGCTTCTACAACAGACGCCATACTGGAACAGTAAATTAGTGCCTTTGATATGCTACAAGTTCATAAAGCATTCCAAAGGTGGCATAGAAACTTTCTTTTTGTTTTTTCTCATGTTCGCAACGAATGACGTTGAGAAAAGAATTTGGTACTTTAATTCCTGATTGATAAATAAAGATAAGTCAACCGACTGTGCGGTCTCGCTATTGAGAAATAAAGCTAAAGCGGGAAATACCCTCTTGCATGAAAACAATACATAACGTATAAGAAAATTGACCAATCAGAGTTCTCATTTCTATTCCAAGGGACCCTACAAATGTCTCTAAGTACACGGTGCTGTGATTGGCTGTGTCCAAATACACTGTGTCCAAGTGCACCGCTCCCAGGCCAGTCAAACATGCTAAAAGATTCGAAGTCGTAAGACTCGGCGATAAGTCAGACGTTCCTTTATTTTCCAGTAGTATTACTCAGTAATATGATAAACAGACTTTATATTTTTCAAATAGTACGACTCTCGTTCCTTTATGTTTTTCTTTCTACGATAGACTGTAAATGTCATTAAATATAATATTATTAACAATAATTTATTAAATACACACATAATAATTTAATAAATACACAATAACTACAACAGGATTAAACATTAAATATAATTTTCGATGTTTCTAATAGCGAATTCGGTAGCTTGCACTAGTGCGCACTGAGTGCGCATTAAGGCTTGTTTACAGTACATTCTTATATTTAAGATCGTGTCTTAAATACATATTTAAAAACATTTTAACTAATAAAATGATTCGTACGGATGTTATACATATCATATTATGGTTAAAAATATTTGAGAATTTATTTGAGAATTATTTAAGACAATTTTTAAATATAATAACATACTATGAACAAGCCTTAGTGCGCACTCAGTGCACACTAGTGCAAGCAACCGAATTCGCTATAAGAGCGAATTCAATAGTTTGCACTAGTGCGCACTGAGTGCGCGTTAAGGCTTGTTTACAGTACATTCTTATATTTAAGATCATGTCTTAAATATATATTTAAAAACATTTTAACTAATAAAATGATTCGTATGAATGTTGTACATATCATATTATGGTTAAAAATATTTAAAAATTTATTTAAAACAATCTTTAAATATAATAACATACTATAAACAAGCCTTAGTGCGCACTGAGTGCGCACTAGTCAAGCAACCGAATTCGCTATAAGCTCGGTTATCGGAAAGTAATATTTTCTATAATTTGTTATTTTAATGTTAAATTTTTTTTTAATACTGTCTACTTATATAATTAGAAGACATACATAAGCTGAATACTAATTAATATTAATTATTTCTAGTAGTACATTGTAGCTACACTTAGTGGTATATTGATTTTACATACGTTTTCTAAACGTATGTAATATTTCACAACTGTTTGTAAAACATTTCGACAATTTTTTCTAAATAATATGTGTTCTCTGATACGTTATCAAAATGATAAATTATGATATCAAACGTGGGTAAATAACGCTTTCTCTGTAATTGATGATGTTGTGTGAGAAGCGTGACATTATATTTAAAAAAGCGATTGTTTTTGTTTGCAAACAAGAAAAATGAAAACAAGAAAAGAAGAAAACAAGAAAACAAGAAAAATGTATAATCATTTTCATGCAAATACTATTCAATGTGCGCACTTTGAAGCCATTCGGTGAACGTAACAATTGCGGAGTCATCGGCTGACTTCGATTGGTTTATGTATTCAGACCTATCAAACTACATCAATTTTCTAACAGTCAATGTGTAACTGTGTATTTTGCAAACGTAATTCATGACTGTGTTTATCTGAAAGTAAAATGTGATTTGCTGTTTGGATCTTGGAATATAGACCTCTACGTAATAATGAAGTATTAATTGCATATAAGGACAAGACGATTAGTCGAACTAGTCAAGATGACGGATCAGGATGCGAATAATAATAGTCTCCCATTACGGGAGAATTTAGTAAGAATTATTACTTGTTTAATTATTAACATTTTAAATTATATTAATTAAAATATTGCATATAATGCCAAGAGTGGTTATTTTGTATATTTTGTAACTAGTTGTTTATTTAATGATACTGTCATACATGTAATGGATGTAAAATACATGAACTAAATTTAATTCAAGCTTTTACATTTGAGGTACAAACAGCGGTACAATTTCTGCAGAATCCTAAAGTAGTGCAGAGTCCAATAGGCCGCAAACAGCAATTTCTTAAGAAGAAAGGCCTCACAGATGAAGAGATTAAAGCAGCTTTTAATCTGGCATCTCTTGATACTACTATAGTCGATTCTGATTCTCTCTATGATCAGAAACAATCACCACTATATACTGCTGTACAAATTCCACAAACAGCTATATATCCATATTATCCAACAAATTTTAGTCAATTGACATTATACCAAAAAATCAAAGAACTTTTTAATTTAGCAGCACTGATTGGTGCGACAGTATACTGTGTTTATTGGTTTTACAAGGTATTTTATTACAGTGAGAAAAATGATAACAATTTTTCTAATATATATATATATATATATATATATATATATATATATATATATATATATATATATA